TACTAGAAATATATGTCCAAATAAAGATTGGATGGAGTGTTTGTGTGAACTAATATAAATTCAAAGTAAACATCATTACATAAAAGGGTACGGTCTTTTTTTTTTTAGTTTTATTCATTTCAAACGGGCCAGATCCGGCCCGCGGGCCGTAGTTTGCCCACGGCTGGTCTAGACTGTGTATTTCAATTCAGTGAGAACGTGTGGAGACTGCCGTGGGCTCCATCATACTAGAAATATATGTCCAAATAAAGATTGGACACTTATAGTCATAGCAGCATTATTCAAATAGGCCCAAAGTGAAAACAACCCAAATGTCCATCAAATGGTGAATGGATAAACAGTTCCACCTGAAAGGGAATTAAGTACTGACACATGCTAGAGCCTGGATGAAACTTGAAATGTTATGTAAGTGAAAGAAGCCAGTCACAAAAAGCCACATACTGAATGATTCCATTTGCATCATAAAAATATATGTCTACACTCAAATACTTCATTCTTTAAAATAATTAAACAAAATATACTGAAGAACATGGCAAAACATTTAATTTATTTTTATAATTTGTCCTCAAAGAAGAGTTAATGTGATTTATACTCAAAACAACACACCTGTACAATGACTGACTTAACTAATCACAGGCAGAGCTTTTGGCCCTAAAGATTCTACAGTTAAGCTGCAGGTGGTAACCATATAGTTCAGAGAAGAGGAGATGTATGTTGCATGAATTAGAGAAGATTTTCAAAAGGAGTTGGCACCTATCCTAAACCTGAGATTAGAAAAGAACAAGGAAAGAAAGGGATTCTCTGAGAGACAGGAGAGCATGGGCAAGGATGGTGCAGGACTGAGCCCGGATGGAAGAAGGGGTGTGAGCAGCCATGCGGGAAGATCCCGTGGCAGGGTGGCTATCTGTGTCAGGGCTGCTTGTGTCTGAGGCTGCTCGTCACAGGGTCATGACAGGGCCATGTCTGCCCGCCTCACAGCCAGCACGTTTCTTCACTGTGCAACCTTGGAGAGATCAGCCCACCGCCGCGAGTCCTTGCCAACGGGAGGTCCTAGTGCATAAGTATCTGTATACCGGAGCACTGGGTTCTATTCATGCTCACATTTTTCCATAGGTAGAATATTCTATCCTCACCTCCTTAGAGGAGGTGACACATTTTGAAGAAATGAATCGCAAAACAGAAGTGAAATGACTTGCTCAGGGGTTTGCCAATCTAAGAATAAAACTTGAATCAGGTCTCCAAACCTCCCTCCTTATACACTTACACCCTGTGACAGAGATGTCCCTATGCTCGCCTTGGCTGGAGGAGGGCGACTGTCCAGTGATGGCCAACTGCTCACTATCTGTGCATCCCCCATGCAGTGTACCTTCAGCAAAACAAAGACACCTTCCCTATAAAGCACAATGAAGGCATTAAAGTGATTTTCTCATTTATTTAAAAATAAAAACAAAATTAAATCACAACAATACTCTTCTGAATGTGATAAAAAATGTTTTTCAAGCAACTAATGTAATATAAGCTCCTGCTTAAAATTGAGGCACTGTCCATGTCTCAGTCTGAGAAATCTGGTGGAGGTCACATTCAGACACTTGCTGGGTTGGGATTGATCGCGACTGTTAGTTAACAGTCTCTGTTGTGAGGCCCATTGACTTCTCAAGCTGGGACTGATTGATTACTGCTGACACCAGCATCTCTGTCTTCTTTTTTGAACAGCTGGGATCTGCAATGCTATTACAGGAAGCTGTGCTCAGCCCAAGATAGGATAAGTGGCCTCTTTTTTAGACTTTGACAGTGGCCTTTGGTCAATTGAGAAATGGCCCTGATGTACTTGGAATGAAGTCTTCTGTGGTCATGTTAGCCAGCAGAATGGTGGCTGTGGCAAAGCCACCAAGACAACCCACTGCAGAGTAGAGGAACCAGAAAGTGACAGGGCGTAGTCTACACTGTCTGAATAGTATAGGCCTGAAATGACAAGCAAGCCTGCATGCATTGTTTCATAAATAAAAATGGTAATTTTTATTTCCAAATGCCTAATCTCTGCACAATAGTCCGCTTGTAAAACTACCTCCAGAAGAGGAGCTCGGCTGAGTTCCAGCCCAGTCTCAGATCCATTTCATGCCATTGAGCTGTACTAATTGTCGACCAGACGGTTTATAAAAGAGAACAGGAAGTCTGCTGTGGCCAAGGCAATTTGTCGTGGTCTGAAAGCATCCAATTCTCAGAAAAGAAATTCTCTGTAACCTTAACAAATATGACTCTGTATACTTTTCTTTTTTATTTGATCAATTTATTTTTGCTTCAAAGGAGACACATTATAGAAGTCAAATGTGAGCAGAAGTACCACAATTCTTACAGTTGAAACTGGTGGCTTCCTGCTTTTTCAGGCAGGTTCTCCAGTATTACCACAAAATATAACAGACCAATAACTTGTTATAGGCATTTATTTTAACGTGTATTCCTTTCCTTCTGTCTTCTGTATTCTGTGCAAAGTATTAGATGTGCTATAATTCCATGCATGTTGTAAAATAATGTTTTAGATTTATATATAAATTTAAACTGAGATGACTCAACCCCAGTTGTCATTTCATAACCAGAGGTCATCAGGAATCACTCATAATCATTGCACACATGACTATACACATGATCTGTTTTTATGACCCCAGCCTGAATGAATTCCCAATCTCATACATTGCATATGAGCATTAGCTTAGGTATGGGGGCTCTATCATTACTACATGACATCATGAATCAAGTAGCCATGTAATTATTATTACTGAAAACCTGAGCTCACATTTCAGAAGCTTACCATTAAGAAAAAGATGCTTTTTAAACTAGCTCAGTATTCACTCTATTGTACAGAGCAGTGATCTTAGTGGGACGGTAGGTTTATAGTATAACTGAACAGGAAGGTTACATTTAGGCCATGTTATTCTACTTTCCATCACACTTAGAGTATTTAGAACAGCTATTATTTTTTTTCAAAAGGCACGAAATCAATAGGAGACTATAGTGCATAATGAAAAAGAGGAATCTTTTACTTTTTATATAAAGCTTTTATTATAAAATAGAGGCTGAAATCTAGAAAAAAATTATTTAGAGAAAAAAATCCTGATCTTGTCAACAGATTACAATATGTAATGTCCCCTTGAAACCAAACAAGTAACACTGAGTATCTGTGAATTATCTGTCCAAATAGGAAATAAGTTATCCCCAAATAATTGAAATCCAGCAAAGCTCAATTTAGGCGTGCATTTAAGTCTTCTACTCCAAACTTTAATAGAGTTTATTTGCTGTTTATCTAACAGAGTGAATAACATAAAAGAAACAAGATGAAAGAGGAAACTCAAAAGGAATGAAAAAATGCAAAATCTAAATAATAATAATAAATCTTAAGTTGGTCCTATAATACTTCCCATGGGAAGGGATGTCTCCCTGTTTGTGAACCTGCACTTTGCTTGAATTGATGGTCACTTCCTAACTGTTCACATAACTGCAATCAAATCCTAGGGCAAACGCACTGACCAAGGGAGCTCAGTCCATAGCTGTATTTTAGGATGAGCACTGATTTTTTACTATATGAGATATCTTGAGCATAGTGTTCTCATTAATTTTTAGTTTGTAATTTTATTAGACTCACATGGCATTCTTCCTCTTTCACAGTGTTCAAGCCCATGTTCCCCTTACAGATAAACTCACACACCACATACACTCACCACATGCTCACACAGAACACACATATGCATACTCACACATGCTCAGCACCTTCAACAAATCAGTAGGTACGCCCCCAACCAAGCACTGAGGTTATAGCAGTAAACTAAACAGACCAAATGTCTTGCCCTCATGGAGCTCACATCAGGAGTGAAGAAAGAGAGGATTTGAAGAAAATAGGAGTCTAGGTTTGGAAGAAAAGTAATGATGCTGCCCTTGGTGGCAGAGCTTACAGCTGCCATGAACCCAGAAGACTGAATTCCCTGGACCCCTCTCTTTCCCACCTTCCCCCAAATAGGGAGGGGTTTGAGACTTTCATCTGTTCCAATAATTCATCCAAAGTACCCCTTATCTAGAACAGTTCAAATGAACTTTATTATGTCTGATTAATCATTTGTGGGTTGGTAATTTACAAAATAAAAGACCTCAACAGTTGGTACCAGGTATGTGACCAGACTCATCATTCCAGCATCCCTGTAATCAAAAGGAGCACAGACTGAAGAGAGCTGGAAGCTGGTGATGGAAAGTATCTGTTTTACGACCTCCCCTAATCCCCAGCTGGATAGAACTGAAGATGTATAAAGAGGAAACAAAATTCTGTGTTAGATGTTTTGTTTTAAGAGATACTCTATACTTTCAGTTCATGTATATTCATTTAACAGAAGGTTGTTTAGCATTGAAGTTTAAAATACTTTGTTCATTTTAACAACAACAATAACAAAAAAGACACCAGAAACATGACTTGTTTTCTTCAAGGCACAGATATATTAAACACCCTTTCTTGCCTCCCATCCCTAATTGTAGTTACACACACACAGACACACACACACACACACACACACACAAATAGTTCTGAAAAGGGCTAAATTTATCCTGTTGATATTCAAGAGATTATTTACAGTAGGATTCATTAACAATGATTTTGTATATCTTCTCCTTTATTTTATATTTATTTTATCATTAGCAACAATAACAAAAGATACCAATAGAAATGAACCAGTCACAATAGACAGATGTCCAAATTTTCATTTTCTGCAGGGAAGGAAAGAGCTTAAAATCATGAGCTTCACTGATAAACAGTAATTGTAGTAATGCTGATAAGTGGTAATAAAGGAGGGTTTGGATTTTCTCTCCTAGAGAATAAATTGGCAAGAACCAAGGAAGTGTCTCTGAAATCTCTTGTCCTTAAACGCTAAGATGGAAAAGACCTCCCTGCTGTGTTTTGGTGTAGAGGTGTGCACAATGTTTTTAAGTTGGAGGGCTTAATTTCTTTTCATTGTTTCTCTCAGACGGCCACAGTTTCGTGGGATATCCGAACGTTGTACTCAACAGTACCTGAAGATGCAGAGCACAAAGCAGAAAGTTTACTGGTGAAAGAGGTAAATGTGATACTTCCAATCCTTTCTTTTATAAAACTCTCTTTCCCTCAGGTAGTTATTAATACAACTTTATTATCATTCTCTTCCTCACCTTTTCAATAGAGATTAGTTGATGTCTTTCGATCATCATTGCCTGAAGATGTGTTCCATTTTCCTGTTAATCGTTTTTCATTATCTGCTGACTATTCAACTTTTGGAATTTTTTTTGTTTTGCTTTTACTTAACTTAAAAATTCCACATTAAGAAATGTTTTAGTATTCTTAATAGGCAGATTTAATTTTATTTTACTTATTTGGACTGACTTACACGCAAGGCCATACTATGTGAGAATTTTTTATACCAGAGTTCCCATTTTAAGAGATATAGTTCTTTCAAGTACTATGAAAATATTAATGTGAACAGCTGTAAGGGACTGATAGAAGCATGTTGCTATGTCATCTACTTACATTTGAAGGATGTAGGGAAGGCCTACAGCACTGCTGCTTCTCCTAACCAGAGAGCAGGTTGCTTTAGGGCAGGGATTGGGCTAGCACAGAACAGCTACTAGCAGGTGGTTATTGAATAAATAAATGGAGCCAATCCTTCCTTTATGGAAAAAGCAATGATAAAACTTAGCTGAGCACAAGTCAAAGTAAAAGTATTGAAGTCTAAATGCAGTCTTTAATCCTGAGAAAGTAGTGTATCCCAATTAGGATTTAGTTAAAGCCACACACAACAGCAAAACCCTTTCACAGCTCCTAAACATATTTGTATGAATATAAGTTAGCCTTATTTGTGTACCTATTAATACCAAGCTGAGTAATCATATTTTATATTATACTATTCTTTTATACATATACATTTGTGTATATGTATATGCATATATATTATATATCTTTATATTGTACTATTTAATTCAGGTCACCTTTTGCCATAAATTTACCTGTTTATTTTTTTCTAATTCAATGATTTTATATTTATTTCCTAAAGTTCACATTAAATTACAGAGTCTGTCTTAAGGAGGTAGAAAAAAAGAAAAAAAAGTGCAAAGTTAGATAACATCAGGTAATCTGAGTGTACTATTTTCATATTTACTAATAAAAATAATAAGTGTGATGTCAGTTTTATAATATTTTATTTACAGTCTCCTTAGAGGAAGTTTTGATATTTACTAGGGCATCACTGTTTAAAAAAAGAGTTGGAAAATTATTTTCTAATCAAGGAATTAGAATCATTGAGACTAGGTCTACAAAATCATGCAGTACATGTATGTTAACTTAGGTGGGGTTTGAAATGTTTAGGACATTGAATTCCTAACAGAATATTTAACCAGGTTTTCTTGCATGGTCTTCACAAAATATTGCACATTCTTCATAATGATCTGTAACACTGTTGTTAAGTTCATTTCAGTGTATTTTATAGTTTTGCTAAAAATAAGTGGAATGTTAAAAGTCCATTTCCTTTTCTTAGTGTCCATTGCTGCTATCTTTTAAAAGCTATTAATTTTCAAATATTCATAACTAGCTTACTAACCTCTCCTATCCTAATAGTTCTTATTTGAATTTTAGATGTGTAGTTATATCATCTGCAAATAAAATTTCTTCTTTTCTAATAAGTATATCATTTATTTAATTTTTGTGTTATTTTATTACCTAATGTCTTTAAAACAATGTTGAATAATAATGCTAATATTGGGCATCCTGTCTTATTGGTGTTTTATTATATTTTTCTGGCATAAAAGAAGTGTCTAAGAAGGTCTTGGTCTCTACAGTCCTTATAAACACTTGCTACTTAGGTTTTGAAATGCATATTCAGTCTATTGATTCAACAGCTCTTCTACATGAATTTATAAAGCACTGTAATAGAATTAGTAGGTCGCTATCCTGTGGATCCACACTTGCATTTCTGGTATAAACTTTTTGTTCCAGTTGCATTATTACCTTCATACTCTACTACATTAGAATTGTTAATATTTTATTTAAAATTTTTGCACTAATATTCATGAGTGGAGTCTGGCTGTTGTTTTCTTTTTTTTCCCCCTTTGGTATTAGAGAAATGCTAGCTTTAGACAATAAATTGAGATAGTTTTCAATTTTTAAATATTCTGGAATAAACAAATATCCAGTGAAATGAAACAGTATCTAGAAACATCTAAGTGCATATGGTTTCTTAATAAATGGGAAATATGGCACTTGAAATTCTTTAAGGAAGAGTGAGCAATTCAACAAATACAAATTGGCTCACCATTTTAGATGAATATAAAGTTAGGATTCTCTATCTCACATTACATATAAAAAATAACTCCACATAAATATTAAAAACATGATTAATTCCAGACATGTATGAAAAAAACAAAAATTGTTAAAATGTAGGATGATATTTTCAGTGGAAACTTATGAAAAATGGGCAAATTTAAGCAAATAAAAATTTTAATATTTATATGATAAATGGTACCATAAAGCCAGAAGACAATACATAACCACAGAAATTATTTGCAACTCATTATATCTTTTGTTACATACACACAGACACACATGCTCCTTAATAGACTGACTTGATGAGGATATTTTCACTGTTCACAAGGTAGTATGTCCTTCATTTGACAAACTTGTAAGCTTTCTGCCTCGGTTTCTCCATCTTTAAATAGAGATATTAATAATCCCAATGCTGTATTTCTAAAACTAAATATAGCAATAACTTGGAAAATAACAATTGGGGAACAATGTCTTTATCTGATCCTCCTAAGTGACTTAAAATCAACATCTATAACCACAAAAAATATCAGACACTTCCCTGATAAAACAAGCATCACTTCCTGCCACTGGGGCTTGGGGGAGCAATTAAAGGATCTATAAATAGGATGAAAACTTCCTAAGCCAAAAACTTATAGAGCAAAGTTTTCTTTTGAATATGTACAAAAGGATCATAGAAAGCCAGAAACACAGAACACTAATTAAAACTAAGCTTTTGGTTTGGACTCTCGAAACAAAGAAGATGAAAGAGCAGAGACTTGAGAATGATACAGTGGCCTAATCGGAGCAACGGTCTAGGGACCACTTCAGCAGAATGGCTGAGAGAAATACTGACAAAGTAGTAAGGTAACAAGTTACTCTGCCAACAAAGCCCTTGGCAGTTTCTGGAAATCCGTCAGCTGCAGGAGTAGAGCAATGATAAAATGAGGACTAAGTTGTGAATCCAAGAGCCCAAGTCTCAATTGGAATCCAAGACTCCAAGCCAAGACAAAATATTCCAGGATTTAAGATTTATGAAAACATTAAAGAATAGAAGCAAATACCTATCTGCATGTCTACCTATTTATCTATCTATTTATCTATATGTGCACACACACATACACAATTATACAATGCCCTCATCATCTGCATACCAAAGTTAAAAATAGTTCAGGAGGCTATTATGTATAAAATATTGCTTAATTTATTAAGAGACAAAATTTTGTGAACATGAAAAACAATACAATCAAATGAATATAATATTGAAAATGAAATTTCTTCCTCTTCCACCATTTGGACCCAGACAAATGGTATACAACTAATCCAAGAGAAAATTATGTATATGCAAGGTAGAATTTGTATCATATTGAGAAGTAAAAGAGATATTAAAAAACTTGAGTCCTAGACATTGCAAAGAAAATTATGCGGACAGAAGGATTGGCCATGATATTAAATGCTGCCCATTTTTGTTGAAAGAAATACATCAAACTAGAATGAGATTTATCTTGGTTCAAGAAAACACAAGGAATCAAGGAATAAAATTCTTACTTTTATAATTAAAATAACTTTGTCTTTTATGTTTAATTTTGGACAGCATATTATGTACAGTGTTAAAGAAACCATTCTTTTGACCAAAATGCCTTTGTACTTTATACAAAAATTTTAAATCTAATATGTAAAATTATGTACACTCACCCTGAAGTAAGAATAAATCTTTGAGTAAGTGATTCTGGGTTTTTTTTTTGCATGTATAAATAAATTAAGTAAAAATGAAGGCTGTTTCCTGATTCTGAATCATTGGGTAGCAAATGAATGATTCTAATGTATTCATTAACTTCAGACCAGAGCATGATAAGCATGGTTTTGCTCACTGTAGAACTAATGTCTTTGATGACACCAGGGCTACATGTACAAATTAATTCAGTGGAAGGTACAGGGAAAATGCAACTATAAAAATCTCCCCAAATTAAAAAGTCACAGTTCTTTCTTAATAAAATTAGTGAGAATAAAATGATTTTGACTTTTTGTTTTAAAGAATGGGGTTCTTTCTTAATTCCCTGATAAAGGTCTTACTAGAGGCTAAGGGACTTTTCATTTTGTGTGTATTGTTAAAAAGTAAATTTATAAGTAAAGCCACTTACATATTGTGACTTCAAGAATTTAATAGAGCCCGGATGGAGTGGCTTAGTAATTGAGCATCAACTATGAACCAGAAGGCCATGGTTCAATTCCTGGTCAGGGCACATGCCTGGGTTGCAGGCTTGATCCCCACTAGAGGACATGCAGGAGGCAGCAGATCAATGATTCTCATCATTGATGTTTCTCTTTCTCTTCCTCACTCCCTTCCTCTCTGAAATCAATAAAAAAATTATTGGAAAAATATCATCAAAATCTGTTATTATTCTATATTTAACTTAGTCATACATATATATATTAGTAAAGTAGTATATATATATATATATACATATATATATATATATATATATATATATATGATTTTATTTCTGTCATGGCCAGAACGAAATGGATCACAAGATTTTCTTTATACTAAATGTATAACATTAAAGATAATAAGCATATGAAAGTTCATTAAGGTAAATTAAAATGCATTATCTTTTCAGTGGCATTAGGATAAAATATATATAAAAAACACTGATGAAAACAAAATGGTTTTGTGGTTCACTTTAACAACTGTGAAGAAATTTATTTTCTAGTCACCAAAGTCCCTAGAATAATATAGTCTAGTTTCTAAATATGCAAAACTGTTCCAATTGTAAATTGGCTTCCCCT